TGTGCGTGTGTGCGTGTGTGTGCGTGTGTGTATGTGTATGTGTATGTGTATTAAATATTCATTTAAATTTATAAATTTCTACATTATTATTATTTATTATTATTATTATTATTATTATTTTTTTTTAATTATTAATTTTGTTCAGAAGAAAAATACAAAAAAGATGCACTATAGTTTAATCTCATTATAAATTATAATATGAAAATGTTGAATATAAATTTCATTATGTACAAGATGGGCCAAAAGTGTTTCTAGAGTGATTTTAAAAATTCTCTTACTCTTTTTCGAGCTAATTTTTAAAGATAATTTTTTTTTTTTTCTCTTTCTCTCTCTCTTTTTTTTTTTAAATTGTGAAACTACAAGAACAGAAACTTTTTCTGAATCTGAAAGGGGGAAAGAAAAAAAAAAAAAGAAAAATTAATTCAAAGAGCAATGATCGATTTTTGATATCGTTTAGAAACTTTTGGCCCACTTTGTATAATTCGATGTAACGTTCGCCATTGAAATTTTCTCAATAATTATTTTTTGATATCGATAATATGTGTACGAGGAAAAATTAATTATACATTAATCTAATCGTAATTAACAAATTATCGATTTAAATCGATTTTATTTAAAAATCGATAATGTTCATTAAATTTTCCTTCGAATAATTTATTTTAACGATAAAACGATACAAGCGAACATAAATATGTCATACCTCAATCTGATTATAATTAACCTGTTTAGAATGGATAAAAATAATAATTTAATTTAATAGATTTTATATAGATCAATAATATTTCTTTCAATTTTTCAAATAATTTTTCTTTCGAGATCGTACGAAGATCTCTTTATCTATCCCCATCGCCTGCTTCCCCCTCCCTCCTCCCACACTTCCCACACACCGTCTGCAACTCACGATAAAAAAAAAAATTGACAAAAAAAGATGATTATAATTGAACATCATTATAATACATTATTATTATTATATAAACCAGGAAATCATTATACAGAATATTATTGGTAAGATATTTTATGTAAATTAATTAGAAAATTGAATAATGGTTAAACTTCATATATATATATATATATATATATATATATATGTAAGTATACGTATTCATATGTATTCAAAAATATTAAATATTTATTATCAAGTCGGTCGTCTCTTAATAACAAGGTATGTATATACCTGGGGACGATAAATTTGAGCTGTGAATATAAATTATGCGCAAGTAACATTGCGAGGCACGTACTAAAGGCCGTAGAACTACACCATGCAATTGCGTGTCTGCCCACGTAGAAAGTGGTGCAGAGCCGTTCTTATCCAGGTATTAATGATTTCGCACGACTTGCTCGAAGCGTACCCATCGAGTGTGTGTGCGTGTGTGTATGTGTGTGTGTACTTTCGTAACAGGACTTTATTCGAGTTTTGACTTTCGCACATCGTTTTTTCATCGACCCGTTAAATATTACCATTTTCATTATTATCAACAATTAAATATAATCATCAGCGATGAGAATAAAAACATAATTATAGGTGAAAACTAAGAAGAAAGCATAGGAATGTATATATTTTTTTTTTCTGTATTATTAAAAATTATTAAGTTAATAGAAAAATAATTACACGTCGACGGTTTATATTCTGTTTTGATTTCATTTTATTTTGATTTGTTTATTTATTTATTTATTTATTTATTTATTTATTTATTTATTTATTTATTTATTGTTTTTTTTTAAATAATAATAATAATAATGTAGTAAAAATAAGACGATAGTGTTAGAAATTCGAATTTTCGAAAATACACATTTATATATATATAATGTATTTATTATATATATATAATATTATTTATTATTTATATTAAGTATTTATTAATATTTATTTATTTATTGATTTATCTCACTAGAAATATAAAATGATAATAACTTTGATAATTATTATATCCAATTTAATAAAAACAACATACACAATAAAATAATGTAAATGATAGTATAAATAAACATTCATTCATATATATTATATATACATGAATGAAATATATATTTATATTTATAGTATTTCGTACGAAGTATAAGGATGATAACTTCGATAATTAATCATCATATACAATTTAACAACAACAAAAATGTAACAAATAATTCATCAGTGATTTCAAAAAATTAATTTTATTTATTTATTTTTTTTTTTTTTTTTTATTAATTTTAATATTTACCCTAACATTTTTATCATCTTTGATTGTTTCTTTATAATATGTCACATTAAACAGTATTCAACATTAGTATCTTGTTATCGAAATATTTCGATAAATTTTTTTTTCTTCTTTTTCTTTTTTCCTTTATTTATCAAAAAAGCGGTTCTTTCAAGATTTGAATAAAAATTTCTCGAGAATTTAGAGGAGAAAGTCTAATCATCGTTTTATGTAAGTACATGCACAGTTCACACGCACGCAACTTCGTCGTTACGAACTCTTGATAATCTATTGGTGAAACATGCCTCGAAAAATCCCGTCCCTGCCCTCTGACCCGGTTAACCAAAATCTGTTACAGGATGCATCGACCTGCACGCGGTGCACTCGAAAGTAATTTGTAGACTCAAAACACGTCACCGTGTCAGATTTTCCTTACATCTTTTCTCTTTTCTATTCGTTTTTCCAAGCATTTTACAAATTAATAACGTGAATACTTGCAAAGAAATCTTACGCAATATTTTTTTTTTTTTTTTTTTTTTTTTTAAATCAACACTGTGCTATTGAATAGCAATAATTTTTAGTTAATTTTATTAATTTTTCAACAATTCAAAATATTTTTTTTTTAGTATTACATTATTTATCTTTTTTATTTCATATTACGCAAACAAATTATAAATTAATTAGTTAAGGAAATAGATTTAAAAATGGTTTTAATAATCTATAAATAGATTATTAAATAAGTTAAAAATTTTTCGACGATTTGAAATATATCTTCTTTTAAGATTATATTATTTATTTTCCTTTTAATTTTTTTATTCTGCAAAAAAAAAATTATGAATTAATTGGTCAACGAAAGAAGTTTATAAATCAGAATTAGAAATGACGTTTCGTTTTACAAGTAATTTCTTTATTATTATTATTATTATTATTATTATTATTATTATTATTATTATTATTATTATTATTATTATTTTTTATTTTTTAATAAACGATCGAACGAAATAAGAAATAGTTATTAATTATTATCTCGACGATATACAGATATTTTATTCCAAAGAAATCGAATCTCGTGATTAGTGAATCGCACAGGGAAGTCATAAATTTCTTAACGTTAATGTATTCATGCATGTACTTCTTTACATTTTAAGAAATTAGACATATACATAGACGCATACATAGAGACACACGTACATTCTCCAGCCCGGAAGGTGTTATCCGAGACAACGATGCGTTTAAGTACTGAGACATCAAAATGATAGTGCGAGTGAACGTATAGTTCTTTTACGAGTCTACTTGAATACACCTACGCATTAACTAATATCTTAACTGCTAAGTCTTAACAGATAATGATTTATAACGATTTAATGATCCAACATTTCAACGTGAGAAACGGATATGCAATTTCATCATTTTTCTTTCTTTCTTTTCTTTTTTTTTTTTTCTTTTTTTTATTCTTTTTTCTTTTTTATTTATTTTATTTATTTATACACATAATTTTTTATTACATTTTGACTTTAATGAATGTTCGAAGAAAAATGTCGAGAAAATATATATTCTTTAAATTCGAGAAATATCGATTTTTTATTTTCTTTCAGATGAATATGAATGAATTAGATAAACGATATGTGTGCGCGCGTGTGTATGTGTGTATATATATATATGTTCAAAATTTCCTAGATGATTTAAAATATCAATTACTCTTTTTTGAGACTTTTTAGGCTTTGTAATTTTACAACTTGTAAATCTTGTAGTTTTACAATCTTTAAAAAAAAAAAAAAAAGAATAGAAAAGAAAAAGAAGAGTGGAAAAAACAGATTAGACTAAAAGGCTTTGGGAACGAATAATTGACTTCAAAATTATCTAGAGAATCTTTCGAATAACCCTAGGAACTTTTGATTCATCCCATAAATACATACACACACACACACACACACACACACACACACACACACATATATATATATATATATATATATATATATAATTTGAAGAATCTAAATTAGACAAATCCTTGAAAATTTTATTTCTGTTCTATCGAATTATCTCCCTCGGCTGTTTTCGCAGCTATAGGTACACGCAAATAAGGAATCTTACCTTATCGCGATGCATTTGCCAAGATCGATAGTGCATTAATGTAGTACGGAAGTTGTTTCTAAATATAGGCCGTCACGAGGAAAAGCGGTGCTTCATGAAATCGAGGAGATTTCGAGTGGTAAAACGAACGAGAACACGTGCGATAGAGAGAAAGAGAGATAAAAAAGAGAGAGAGAGAGAGAGAGAGAGAGAGAGAGAGAGAAGAAGAAGAAGAGAGAAAGAGAGAGAGAGTGGAAAGAGATGGAATGTAATGTGTGGTGTAGTATGTTGTGTGGTGTGGTGTGGTGTGGTACAGTACGGTGTGATGCGGTATGGTAAAAGAGAAGGATAGAAAACTTTTCGAGTGCACTGACCTTCGACGAGTGCTCTAAAACCGTGTGCGAGCACTGCAACGATGGCTGCATCGCCCGTTGACGATGCATTCCTCTTCTTCTATTCTCTTTAAACTTTTCTCCGACATGTAGCAATAACACTTGCAGCTTGCTTACTTACTTACTTGCTTACTTGCCGCAACCTCTTGTTTTGCTTTTATCTTCTCTCTCTCTCTCTCTCACTCTTTCTTCTTTCTCTTTCTCTTTCTCTTTCTCTTTCTTTTTCTCTTTCTCTTTCTCTTTCTCTTTCTCTTACATTTAATTTATCACTTTAGTCCGACGTCTCTCCGTTTGGACATTTTTGCTGATTTTGTTGGAACGACACCGATTCATAGAAACGATCTTTTTCTTTTTTTTGCAGGTCGAGGCCGGTGACGTCATACTTAGGGTGAACGAAGTCGATGTCAACCGATTTAGTACTAAAGAAGGTAAGAAGAACACACTGATTTTTTTTTTTTTTCTTTAACTTAATTTAGACATTTTTGATTCCTTTCTTTTTTTTTTTTTTTTTTTTTTTACATCTTATTATTTGGTACACTCATTTATACGTATATAATACCTATTTATGTATCTGTAGATATATAGTTTGTATGAGCGGTTAAAAATTTTTTTTGTAATCGTTGACAATTTTTTTTTCTTTTTTTTTTTTTTACGTTCGTTTCGATTATTTTTAATCGAATCTTCCAAGTCTTTCCTAGATTGTCAAAATTTTCTTTTCTTTCTTCTTCTTTCTTTATTTTTTTTTTTCCCCCCTTATCTTTGATATTTTTTCGGGGTTTTGGTCGAATTTTCAAATCATTCATTATTTCATTTGTTCGTTTGTTTGCTTGATATTTTATTTTTAATATTAAAGAGCTTGTGAATTTCTTATTCGTTTTATTTTTCACTTTTTTTTTTTTTTTTTTCACTTTTGATCGATCATCTCGTCTTTCGTTTCTCGTCTCTCTCTCTCTCTCTCTCTCTCTCTCTCTCTCTCTCTCTCTCTCTCTCTCTCTCTCTCTCTCTCTCTCTCTCTCTCTCTCTCTCTCTCACTCACGCATACATTTTCTCCATCGCGAGAACGTATTAATCTCCGGAGTGAAAATCTCGTTCCATTGAGCGTGCTCATAAAAATGCATTATTACGTAAGAAAGGATCGAGCTTTACGTGGCGTTGTTACCAGTGTTTGATTATGGATCTATGGATTCTTGCGTGTTACTATCGAGGCAGCTCTACGTCCAACGATTTTGCGCGAGTGTAAAAGAAAAATGGTGGGAAAAAAAAGAAAAAAAAAAAGAAAAGAAAAGAGAGAGAGAGAGAGAGAGAGAGAGAGAGAGAGAGAGAGAGAGAGAGATGAAAAAAGAAGAAAAAGTAAAAAAAAAAATGAAAAGAAAAAAGAAAAAGAAAAACCGAGAACTGACTTGTCCATTCGACATTTATATCCTTTCATCCGATCGATTCTTACTTTTCGACTTTGCATTCTTTCGTAATTTTCGTGACTATCGATACTCCTCTATTATCGATTATTCCGACTTTCATTTCCGACTCTCATTTCTCTTGAATGTGCCCCGTCAACGAGTCTCGAAACGTCATCCAGGCGGACTCCATGCAACGACGGCTCCTTTTCTTTCCCACAGTTTTATTCATATTTAACTTTTTTAATGTTAGAAACGTAAAATTGTCAGAAATATTATCAAACACGTACACACGTATACACGTATATAAGTGATTAGAATATGGCGATAGAAATAGAACTCGACAATACATTGGAAAACAGAATATGTAAGATTGATTTATTTTCTCTTTATTTTTCTCTTTCTATGAAGTTACAATTTTTTACTTTTTATATATCTTTGTCCTATCTGTTTGTGATTGTATTGTATATGTGTATTTCTCTTTCTATGAGATTAAAATCTTTATTTTATGCGCGCGAGCGCGCACGTGTGTATCTCTCTTTCTCTTTTTCTTTCTCTTCACTTAAAATCTTTATTTTACGTGTATGTTTGTCTCTCTCTCTCTCTCTCTCTCTCTCACTCTCCCCCCTCTTTCTCCCTCTCTTTTTTTCTTTTCTTTCTGTCTCAATCTTTTTTCTTTTTTCATCAATGATCGATATAAATCGCGTTATCTCAGTAGATCCTCCTACAATGATTAATCCTATTGAGTAGCGAGAGTTTTGAATTTATCTTATATAGTAAGTATTACGTCATCGAAGTAGTTAAACAATATATATATATATGCGAACGTAAATTTGAACGTTCGCCTGTAAGACTGACTACTCGATTGACCTTTTTGATCCCATTTGTTAAACCCTTAGACCTCTCGGTACTTTGAACGAAAGTACATATCTCTCACGTATTGTATCTACGTCCTACGTAATAATAAGTTACTTCTATTAGTTTCAAGATTTATCTTCGTTTTTCTTTTTCTTTTTTTTTTCAAAGTTAGAAAGTTAATAAAAATCATCTTTTGTTTTTCTTCTCTTTTATTTCATTGTTCTCTTCTTTTTTCTTTGTTTTTTTTTTGTTTTTGTTTTTCCTGTTTTTTTTTCTTTCCGTTTTTCCATAACGAATTACGAATAAAATAAAAATTAGAATGAATGTAATGTACCTTGGTCTAATAAATCTAAATTCATTTAATTTCTACGCGAAGAACGTAATAACGAATTATTTACTTTCTTTTCTTTTTCTTTTTTCTTCTCTTCTCTTAAGTATCATCTTTCCTTTTCTTTTCTTTTCTTTTCTTTTCTTTTTTTT